TAGCTTATAATTCCATTTCTTAAATTTCTCTCAAGAAAATAATGCGATTTTTAACCCTCTATTAACCAAATTTTTTAAATAAATATCAAAAATGCGTTAAACTCCTATTAAGTAATGTCTTTTTTACACAGCAGTATTTTTCTAATGTTTTTTTCTTTTTAAATTTAATTTGGGACTTGAAAGCCACATCAGGATTTATTACGCAACTGATAATACTTTGACAGCAGATATTATACCATAAGAACATAAAGAGTAATAAAATACCTGAGCTTATATTTTTCATTTCTTAATATCGATTAGAAATATTAAAAATGTAAACCATATTTATTATGAAATTATATGTTTTTTATTATTATTCGCAATCGCAATAATTTGCTAGTCTATATTTTGTATTGGGATATATTAGGATCTGATGAATTTCAGCCTACACAGCATTCTAGCCGCAACTTCTACACATCCGTAAAAATAAATGAATTAGCTTATATAATGAATGCAACTAAGAATTAATATAGAAAGCAAGTCATGCATGAACATTCGGATTAAAATATCAAAATCACATAAAATAAGTCAACACTATTCTAAATACAAAAACATTACAATTTATTGTAACAACCTATGCTATACTCTGTTGCAAGTTAAGAAAAAAATCATTATCCCTATGGAGAGAGCCTGTTTGCATCTAAGTGCTGTTCCGCAGTGAACTGATCGTTAAGAGACGGTTCCCAGCAGATCACCGAAGTCAATCATCACTGGCTACGGTCAGTGTGCGGGTGGGTGACCACTTGGATCAGTCTGCGTAGGGACCGAGGGTGTGCGGTATTGGTCCTCGTTAAACTGTGCTATCGTAAAGTGCTCGACTTCGAGGGCAGGTCGTCGGGCTACCGAAGCGGGGAAGCCATCCCCTCTGCAGAGGATCAAAATTGTGATGGCATGTCTTCGGATCATCCTCCGGGATGTTTCCCAGAACGTCGCCAATAGCCCATTGTGCAGCTCTAGTGCGACGTAAATTAACAACAACAACAACAGCATTTAAGTGCTCGCCGAAAGGACGCCAAGCTCCTAGCACGGACGTATGTAACATCTCCAACTCTTAAAACGACATTGCGCAACTTTCTTTTTCCTTGCTTTCTTAAATAGTCTGAAATGAGGAAAACAAAATCTATTGAATGACAATAATTGTTTTGTTTGCCGTAAAATTAGAGAATTAAAAATATTAGAAATAGAATAATTAGAAAATATTTAAGTAATACTTTTGTTTGCACTTAAAGAAACTGATGAAAGAATAATAAATAGTGTTTCTTGCAGATGATTTTTTTCTACAGCAAAACTAAAGTCAAAATTCCTTATCTCGCATTTGATTTGTTAAGAGCAAGTAAAGATAAGACGCGCCATTTTTAGTGGTCCAATCAAATCCAATGCTCTTGCACCGTTATATAGCTGTTTCTTGTTCAGGAACGAATATTCTCTTTATTTACCGAAATATATCACCAAGACTAGGGTTCAAGTAAGACTACGAAGCTATAACCATTTTTTTATTAGTAATTCAATGAATCGTAAAAATAGTGTGGATTAAATTTCTCTTCGACTTTGTTTAATTTTTATATTGCTTTGAAATCATATTTGCAGAGTTTGATAACGAAATTAAACGGAACTGTTAGCAGTAACGAATGATAACTTACATCCTATACCGCAATGGTCTTTTCTTAGCTTGCAACGGAGTATAATGTAAAACACGTCAGGATTTTAAAGTCCCAAGAGAAGATAAATTCATTATAAAATTTTAATTAAAGTAAAAAAATTTGTACTTTGTTTAATAACTAGTTGAAAATGTTAAGAAAACATTAAAAAAAATATGAAAGACTTACTTGTAAAATTGATTGAGATAGAAAGTTGAGAATTGAAGAACAAAAACTGGTCATAAATGGCCACTTCAATCGAAATTTCAACAACTAAATATTTTCATGGCTATGTTCAGCTTCAATTAATCGCCTACTACCAATTAGTAATGATAATTGGAAAGTTATATTACAGGGACAAACAAGTCTCGGAGTGATATTTTGTACCGTTTCAACGCTTTATGGAAATATTATAAGTGGGACTTATAAGTCCCGTTGATGCATAAAGGGTTAAAGAATAACAACTAACGAATCCAAATAAATTTATAATGTCTTATCGTCCATTTGCATTAATCACTTGGTACGTTTTATAAATTGTATTTAAAAAAAAAGCCTTTACAATTTATCAGTTGCTTTTTACAAGATTGTTAAACATTCATAATAATGATATTAATTTTATGTTGTATGAATTAAGGGTTTTAAAATACACTCCAGCGTTTAGAGTTCTGAATACAAAGACATCGCCAGAAAAGTTACAGCTTAATCGAAGTGCAGAATTTTGCCATGTAATGATTACGTTATGTAAGCATGTAATTCCTAGTTTAGTTACAAATTGAAAAGACGCATTTTTTTTTTTTTGCTGCATCAATTTTTGTAAACGGGCATATTTGTGTAGGGTGGAATTTTTTTAAACACACATTTTGAGCTGTGTCTATTTTCTCAAACAAGTATTTTGAGCAGTGTCTATTTTCTCAAACACGCATTTTGAGCTGTGTCCGTTTTTTATTTATTTTTGTTAATAGCTTCTGCTTCTATTCGTTGAACGTTAATTTCATTTTGAAAGGAAAATGTTCAGTGCGATTCTGATAGTTAAGCAGTAGTCAAAAGAAAATACTAACAAGAATAATTTTCGATTTAATGATAGGGTTTTAATGTGCTATGTTTAATGTGTGAACAGTGCAGGAAGAAGGCATAGAACACCTTAATAATGGTTGGAGTTTCTAGTTCTTTTAAATGCTTCAAGACGTAAGTCATAATATGATTATAAAATTATCATAAAGAGACCTAACTTTCGGCAGCTCTCCTGACTAATATGGACCATATTTATTAATTTGACGTTGCGTCCGTATATTGATGGCCAAGAAGCCAAATACAGTGGAACCCCGATTTAACGTTGTCCGTTATCCTGCTTCCTATGTCATTTTCTGCTGGTCCGGAAAATTGCCTATATCAATAATGTTAAATAATCCCAGATTTTACGTTATCCTCTTTAAGATAATTCCGCTTTAAACGTTTTTCTTACAGATCAAAATAATATTTTCTCTACAAAGCTCGCACTAACTTTTTCTGAATTTTCTTTGAAAAAAGATATTTGTTTACAAGCTGTTTGTAGCTTTTTGACATTCTTTCTATTCTTATGTGTTCTTTTGTCCGTGAGAGGGGACTTCCCCCTTCGGTCAAAATCAGTAAAATGGATGGAAGGGAGGGGCGAAGTATGGGAGTTTAAATTGTAAAATTTGCGAGTGGAATTTTTTCCAGCAAACTTCAACCCTTGAATCTTGATATTATCCAATCATTTAAAAGAACGTTGCACTAGACAACTGGTAAAATTATTTCTTTTTCTTGATTCCTGTGACCTGCAAGAGGCTACAATGATCTGGGAGTTCTAAATTTAATTTCTACAGCGTAGGTCAGAGTCGGCTAAAATGCATTACAAATGGGTTCAATAGTTTCTCGTTATCCAATGGAAACATTGACCTTCTAGAATAAAATTGCAGGTTTGGAGAGTCTATGACGTGTATATCGACGGCAACACAAGTTTAATGTTTATTCTTTCTCATCTGTGTCCTTAAAAAGTTTTCTCATTCATAGAGGGATTTTTGTTCTCCCTCTTTATACACATATACTAGATTATTACTCGAACCCACATATTAATTTGCTTGTATTTTGTAAATTCATCCGAAAAATTCTGTTTTCCATCTGGTAATTTATGTACTTCCACTTCGATTTTCAAGATTACGGTATATAGTCTTGCTGTTGGTTTCTTTTGTTTTTATTGGGGTAGTTACGGGCGCGGTAATTTACCGGCAACTTCAAAAACTGCTCCAGCACTGACAGCATGGTAATGCCCCCCCCCATGAAACTGCCATGTATGTCAGCACGTCTACTTTCAGTATATGCAAATAACTTTTTTTGGAAAATTGAATAACATAGATCCTGATGTATAAGTCAACTTTCTAAAATCCTAAAACTACAAAAATGAAGAAATTGACTTACACATCGGTAATAAAATTGGACATTCCTTGATCACGAAATATCAACAACACATTATAAACAATGAGACAGATATGAGTAATTGTGCATCAATTTACCCCTAATAAAAACAATTTTAATGTTATTTACAATTATTTTTGCATTTTCTTACATCTTTTTTTCATTATATATAAAGGTTTTATTTAAAAAAAACAATACTTTAAATTAAGTAAAGAAAAAAAAAGAATAAGGAAAGTTTAATAATTCTTTGATTTTGCCATATCTGGCAATCAATCTGAGTGTAGAAGTTCAAATCAATTTCTTATTAAGACATGTGTTAACTTCATATATTTCTTTTCTCATATGATTTACCAAATTCTGCATTGAGGGAAATTCTTCCAAAAAAAAAAAAAAAAACAATTTTTGACAAAATGCCACCTAACTGCATCAATTGCACCACATTTCACAATTTTTCAGTACTCAGGAAAAAAATTTCGCTATTAAAAAAGAGCGTTTCTAATAAAATGGTGACCTTATCTCGAAAAAAGTGATTTATAACGACTTTTAGCGCCCTCTGCGATTTTTAATAAGTCTGAACAATGAATTTGTATAATACAATGAACACCTTTAGGACAGACAGAATGAGAAAAAAGTGCTTCCTGAGGCCAGCATAGTCCGAGAGTATATGCACTAAAGAGTATGTATACATACTAATATCAGATGTAATACGAGAATACCATATCAAGTTCATGTGTATGTCTGGGCCAATGGAGTGAGAAAAGTTCATTTTATATGATACTGTGATCACACGATCACATATATATGTACTATATATATACTTTACTACTATATATATACTTTATATATTATGACTTTATTTCAAAATTAATAAATAAAAATACAAGCATAATAATAACAAACCATAAAATATATATTTATAAGAAATGCAAGAAAAAAATTTAGCAATAATTTCCTAATCCCTGCCATATCGTAAGCAAAAACTTATTACATTTATAATGAAGAACTATCTAAATGTACAGTTTCAAATGTCTTCACATCATTTAAAAGTTGATTGTATTCTTCCTTATACACAGGAAAATGCAACATAATTTCTTCTTTAATAATTTTCAGCTGCTGCAAAATACAATAAGTTTCAAATTAGTAATCAAAAATTTTTGAACAATATTTAAATGAAGCTTTCATAAGGAAAAGTGCAAAAAAATTGTAATAAAGAATAAATGGAAGAAATAAACAATTATTTAAAAGTAAACATTGGTTTTTAGTCATGTATAGTTCAAGAAAAAAAAAGTAAGTATAAAAAAAAAGTCCATAGGTTTCCCAGTCCATATAACAAACGGCAATAAAAAAATTCGTTGCCATCCAAACACAACTTTTTTGTTGAAAATATCATTGTGCTCATATTATTATTATTATTTAATAAAGATGGCATTATTATAAGCATTTTATAACCATTAAAATTTAGTTTTAGTATGTGAAAATCTGATCAAAAGTTATTCTGGTTCAGGACACAATGTGAAAAACCCAGAAAATTTTTTGAGCAAAAAATCAATATCAAAATATTAATATCAAGATGTCAATTTATGTACCATACATGCTTCATATTTAACATAATTTTTTGAACAAGCATTTATAATTACCTAATAAAGAATATTACACCTTTATAGAAACCAATTCAAGAAAAAACTTACTTCTTACAAGAATCGCGATATCGGGTTTTAAAATCGCATGAATATAAATCGCGATAGTGAATTTTAAAATTGTATGAATATGAATCGTAATACTGGAATTTAAAATTGCAAAAATACAAATCGCAATGCATATTTTTTAAATCAGGTAAATACAAAAATTGATGTTTAATATGAAAATCGTGTGAATAAGAATAGCGATATTAGCAGATTCCGGCGCAGTTCCAAATAGTCGAAATCCGCCGAATCAAAATGGCGGAAGCATCACACGCATGTTAACGTCTCCAACATGGGTTTCAGCAAAAGTTTCAAAATTTCGCCAAATTAAGTTTTTGATTTGCGGAAGTCCACGAACCAATGGTCTTGAGATCAGCGGAATTTTGCAACATCCGCGAATAATTCACATGACTTGCTTCAAGTTCTTAGACCAGGAAGAATGATACTAAAAACTCGAAATTCCGATAAATACGATCATCCCGGCTGGTTGCCCCATTTCTTTTTTGCACACTGTATATACAATGCTTAAAGTTTAGGTCTGATAGGAGCATAAACAAGATACTTTGATTTGTATATTAATGCTATTATATTTACTGAAGCAGGATTGTACAGAACAATAAATAATGCTATCTTCGTGTCATGGCAAGAAGAGCATATATTGTTGCTGTTGTACTAAAACAATGGTTAAAAATATGAGAGAAGTCTATTTGGAGAAAAATGCAAAGAAGTAATTTTAGTGAAAATAGGTTGACAGAATAAGTCGTTGAAGCTTATTTTGGAACATTCGTTGTATGTTGTGTGTCCGTTGTATGACGAAAATTTATGTTACAGCATTATGGTTGACTTAGAAATTATTATACTTACAAAAGAAACCAGATTATATAAAATTCCACTAAAATTCAATAATGAAATATGAACATCTAATTTATAAAAGAAGATAACATTAAAACTTTTTTTCTTGGTAAATCTTTGAGCAAGGTTCAGTTAGAAAGGGCAATTAAGCCACTTAAAAATCAGTACTGTTAAGCCACTAAAGAAGAAAAACAGTTCAACAAGCAATAAGACTTAGTTTCAATAAAAACACATAATTTCATATATAATTAAAATATTTATTTATGAAAGCAATTTTTCAACATACAGTAAAAGATAGCTATCACCATATGATTATATAAAACAGTAAATGATTTTCCTTGATAAAGTATAATTTCTCTTTATTAAAAAGAAGTTATACTCTGAAAACATACACTCATAGAATTTAAAAAGCGTTATGTGAATACAACTCACTTCTGTAACAAAATTTAGATTTTCCTTTATATCTTCAGAACCTCCACTCACAAGTCTTAATTTAAAATAAGCCAAGCTTCCTCCAATACTCCAGTAGCTGTTTTCTGTTTGGTCTTTAAATAAATTAAAAGTCATTTCATAGCATCGGTTGAAGACAGTTTTTGTTTCTTGCCAATTAAAAATATCTGCACCTTTATGGCACCTAAAAAAATATATTTAAGGAATCATAATAAAAATAATTTTTTGCAAAATATTGAAAAAATTTTGAGGAGTATATACACAAAAAAAGTTAAATAACTAACTTTTAGTAATGAAGTCACATAAATTTCAAATTTGATTTGATTTCAATACATGATATATAATTAGAAACAAGTTTTTTGTTTTGTTTTTTTGACTGACTAGCAATGGTCTCAACATAAAAACATTATACAGTAGAACAACGCATGGAACCATACATGGCAATACTTTTACTTTCGGTTCTAGTAACGTATGTAGAATTTTAAAAAGTATGCATTTTTACTTGTACTTCATTACCTTTTAAATTTAGTACTTTACTTGTTTTTTCATTACTTTTTATGAGGGAAAAGTACAAGTATATGTAACGAGAATGTCGAAAGATGTATTATATATTCATTATTTAACTTAATGTATTATATATTCTTTAACAGCTAACTTCTCTTTCCAAACATTTTTACGAATTGCTATTTGCTGAAAGGGAAAGAGCGTGGTAGAAGGGAACGTGAATTCTTTAATGGAATTTACCTGAATATGAAAAAAAAATTTTTTACTTATTTATTTAAACAAAAATTATGTTATCAAATTTGTTCACCTAATTATTTTGTTGAATCAAACTAATTTGTTACTAAAAAATTCTGAAAGTAAACAAGTTTCCAAAGATTTAATAGCTTAAAAATGAGCATAATTCAAAATTCCTTGTAATACGCAAACATTGAATTTTCATTTCCCGTTCACTATTTGAATAGAATTTTGTAACATTTTCCTGCATTTCAAAGTTTTATACCATTAAAATAAAATTTAATACATTTTAAAAACTTTTCTTAATGAAATTTACGATTAATATGAATTTTCGATTTCCTCAAAATGTACTTGAAAATTAATTTTTAAAATAAAATTTTTTCTCTCGCTACTCTTGCTTAAAGTACTTGAATTTTTTCATGTTAAATTAACACTTTCTTTCTCTTCTTAACGCTAACAGTTAATTTTGGACATTTGTAACAGTTTAAAGTTAACTTTCTTTAAGTTCGTGTGATTACAGCAAGTTCCTTGTTGTTTCAAGTGCTTTTAGGCCTTTTGCAAATGTTAGCACTGGTTGGGCTTCTGTTTTGCAGTTTTCAAAGGTTTTATTTTTTTTTAGCTTTTGCAACAATTTCTTCAGTCAATACAAGTTTCAAAATTTTCATCAACTGTTACATAAACATGTGTGATTATTGAATGAGACATTTTCCCCACACTGTAACAAGTTCTCATTTACTTATTCATCCCTGTAAAGCCTGGATTTTAATGAATTAAATCCCAAAATATACCCTATAAAAATGACCTTAAAAACGCAAATGTCATTAAAAAATCGCTAGTAATTTAGTAAAAACATTGAATTAAAAAAAAGTTCACTTAAGAATTATCTTCATTAATGTCAAAATATAATAAAGCAATATAATGCATGATTCATTAAAGTTGAAATAAATGTTATATGCTAAAATAACAACAAAAAAAGGGAATATTCAGTAAAAATTTTTTGTATCTGTATTTTAATGAACAGAAAATACACTTGATATAGAATAAGCAATGTTAGTAGATATCAGAATTTCATTAGATTATAAAATCACACAATTTATTTCAATCGTAGACAAAATAGTAAATTCTTTCTTAGAAAACTGTAATGTTAAATATATTACTAATCAGAGAAAAAGGGAAAGCTGGTAAAAATATTACTACTAAACATTTTGCATCAATTGCCACTAGAAAACATGGTTGCACGTGGTATGTGAGATACCAATATAAAATGTAAATTTATAAAAAAATATCTTGCATTGAATGCAATAAAACTTACATAAAGCAAAGAGAAATAATAAAAAATAGAGAAAAGAATAACCCAAAAAACTTAAAAAATACTCCAAAAGGCAAATATCATCAAAATCAAGGTTTTAATCATACAATTATTTTGATTTCAAAATAGGAAGTTTCCTTTAAATACAATTCAAAACGAAGACATTGTAATGCACACAGGTCACAACTAGTTAATAAAACGATTGAATAATAAAAATCTTACCAAACTGACATTTTTGCAGACACAAAAAAAGCTAAATCTTTAGGCATTGTTTGTGTAATATTCATATTCCACTTAGAAGCAAACTCATTGCATTTCTTTATGTCTTTTTCTATCCTTAGATTTCCTTCATTACCAACTTTAAAAAAACAAAACAAGTATTACATTTATAATTTTATAGTCAATCACACAATGAAACAAACTTTTTTCAGATATCAATGCTCTCTAACTCTACTGCCTTGGTGATAAAGTATTATGGTAATTAACAATAAAAAGCATAAATAATTTATTAGAGATTATAAAATACTATTTATCCAAATAAATTTTTTTATCAAAAATAAGAATAGACAATTTGAAGTCCATCCACCCTTCTATCTGTTATGAATTCTAGCAACCAATATTCCTTATCCAGTTGAAAGTTTTCTAAGTCACAAAATCACAGCAAACTATGGTTTTGTGAAATTTGGTTCCATGTAAAATGGGTGAAATATAAACTCTTGCGCAGGAAATGGTGGTACCTACATAGATCGCTTGGCGCTCGCCAAATGAAACTCTTTAGCTTTTCCAGATTTCGGCACAAAAATGCTAAATTCCCTGACTTTTTGAATGATTCCGAATTTCCTGATTTTTCTAGGTAGAGTTGAAACTCAGTATAATTTAATACATAAATATTTAATGAATAAGTATGATTTAAATTAATACATGAAAAAAGCATTCAAGACAATACACAAGTTCTAACAAGTCATTTTTGATAAATAAACTAAGAGAAAATATAAACTATAAAGAACAAATTTTTTAACTTGATAACAGGTTAAAAAGAAAAAACATATCATTCAGGCAGTATGTTTGTTTTAAATAAAAAATTAAACGGAAAAAAAATTACAAATATAGTTTAGCAATATTTTACAAATTAATTTCCAAATGTTAGTTATGACGAACCTCCGGACCGAATCTTATATCATCTCACATATTAAACAAACAAACAAATTCCTTAAAAATAATAAAGTTATATTTCAATGGATCCCATCACACGTAGGTAAAGATGGTAATAAGAAAGCTCTTACTCTTTAGCAAAGATGGGTATACAGGAAGAACAGCTAACTTAGCCACTCTCTACAAGTTCCTTAAAGAAGCACATTTGTCATAAAATGAATACAGCACATAAAACAGAGCAAGAATTACTATCCAAGGGAAAACGCTGGGAAAATATCCAAGAGAAATGGAAATACTACTTCCATATGGAATCCGTTGCTAATTTCAGATTAAAAGTTAGTCATTTACCAGAACATCTAAACATCATTATCATCCTTCCAACAAGTAAATGTCAAATCTGCAGAGCAGTTAAAATGAATGCTGAACACTTACTTTCATGCTGAGGACTCGATAAAGAATCTCAAAGAAGTGTAAATATTCTCAATTTACATTGGGATGCTAGAAGCATAATGAATTCTTTGTAAAATTTTCGTTTCTCTATTTGTCAGACATTTTTCACTCAAGCTCACTTTAATTTTGTTATCCTTAATATTCACTGTTCTCATATTTTAATTGTTGTATATTCTTATTGTACACATATTGATAGTTCTTTATATACAGTTGAACATGTTTATCTCGAAAACCTCTATATTTCAAAATTTCTAAAATTCATGTCATAATTCATCATTAAAATCAACGTATTTTCCACGTTTATGTCGATTTTTTTTCTTCAAAACCTCAGTTTCTCGAATTTCTAATAATAGAGTCCAAATGTCAAAACTTTCTTTATTAGTTGAACTTGCACACAGAGATGAATTTCGTGAACCCACAGGAAGTAGGGATGAACAGGTTGGGGGTGTTTCTTGGAATTTCAATCACTATCTCTGCACTTCTAACTAGAAAGGAATACAATGATTCTGGCAGTAGGTGAGGGGTAAATGAGTAGTGACCACCAGGGGTTAGCTTTTCAACATAGATAAGAAAGCTAAGGATAGAAATTCATTTTCACCTCAAAATTGCAACCAATGGATCAAAGGATAATTAAGAGTTTCAAAGTGAACTATATTAAACCGATGGTGCGCAAACTTACAGATGCCATCGGTGAAAAAAGTTCTCTTCCAAAAATATAAAAATGTTAGATGCTATCAGACTTACTGTTTAGCCTGGAGAAAAGCTATCCAAAATGGTTTTAAAAAGCTGGTTTTAAGGATAGCTGTGAAGATGATGAACAAGAGGTTGAAGGCATCGGTAAAGAAGAAAAAAAATGTTGAGACTGAAAATGCAGTGATAGAATGGAATGCAATAAAATCTGGATTTAATGTTGACATTGATTTTGAAGATTTTCATAAGTGGACAGATGTGGAAATCATATATAATGTCAAAGGAATATCAGATGAAGAAGCCGAAGATCATATTGATGAACCAAAAGTGAATGCAAAAGGGTTAGAAAAAGTTGTAGAATTCTTATGAACTATTCCTTAATAGCAGGAAAATTTTGGCTATGAGGGATTTGCACTCCTTCAAACCTTACAAGAATACTAGAAACAAATAAAGTTATACATCAAAAATCTTTGAAAAATTATTTTCAGTGTTAAATGTATGTTAAAAAAATGTTATGGAAACAAATGTATGTAGTATAATTAATTTAAAGAAATGCCTATTTTTTCTACTAAAAAACAATTGCATCTTTATTAAAATTTCTTAATTAAATTTAATTTTTTAAAGTACCTGTATAACTCGAAACCTCTTTATCTCAAATTTGTGAGATTCAAGATAGACAGGTTTGACTGTATGTTGCTGTATTATATGGATTGACTTCCGATAATTGCATATGTTAAAAAAAATTAATAAATAAAACAATTTTCAAATGTTTTGAAAAATTAAAAATCTTACAGCATACCAGTATTATCCATGAGAATAGCTGCTGAAAGTCCACAATAATATTGAGCAAAAATATCATAATTTCTATCATCATCAAGTAGTGAACTAAGCATATTCAAATATTTCCAGCACTCATCACTTCTAGAGAACATAGATAAGAAACATATAAGCAAGCTTTAAAAAAACTTTAGAGGATGCTATATCACAGAAGAAACTTTTTAATGGTAAAAACGGTTTCACCGTCATTGGTGGTAATTAAACATTTAAATTAGAGAGAAAAGTCAGTTCAGGTAAACCTAGAGTAAAAGATGAAGTTTCAAATGTTGAAAAAATGTTTTAAAAGTTTCAAAATACAAACAAATTACTGCAGAATTACTTTTCCACTGTATAATCCTCCAACACTTCGTTTGCATTTAGATATTTTGAAAACTTTTTATTCAGCATTTTAAACTTCATATTTTGTTTCAATGAACTTTTTGAATTCTGTAAAATTTTAATTAATTACTTTGCTGGAAGAAAAATTGCCATCATACATAGGAATGTTTCTTTTAAAAAGTAAAGAGTAAAAGTACAAAATCTTTAAACAAAAGTAATGAGTAAAAACAAGTAAAATTACAAGTACAATAAAAAGAAAGTAATGATTTACAAGCTAATTTCGAGGAAATCAAAAATTCAAAGTAACCTTAAATTTTATAAAAAAAAAATGTAACAATAATTTTTTTTTACATTTAAAATGCATTACATATTTATTTAAAAGTATAAATTTTTAAAAATACAGAAAGTGTTTCAAAATTCATTGAAATAGTGACGTTAATTGCTAAACCAGAAATCAAAATTCAATGTTTGCTTATAAAAAGGAAATTTAAATTATGTTCATATTAAAAATACCAAATCCGAATTAATCTAATTAAAAAAAATAATTTCAAAAATCTTGGAAAAAAAATTCTGTTTGAGAAAAACTTTTAAATAATTTAAAAAATGTAATGATTTCTTTCGACATTCTTATTACAAATACTTGTACTTTTTCACAGAAAAAGTAACGAAAAACAAATAAAAGTACTAAATTTAAAAAGGGAACAAGTACAAGTAAAAAAAAAAAATACTTTTTACTATCACCTTCTCTATAAGCATCAAAAGTAAAAGTATTGCCACACATGCTTGCCAAGGTTTTCTTCCATGGTGCAGTATAATTGTAACTCGTGTCAGCGATTTTACAAATGAACTGCATCATTGGATAGTATTTTTTTAATATTTCACAACAGCTGTTGGACCGCTGACACAATTTTCGGGTTTACGACTACTAATGTTCAACTACATAGCCTTGAAATTTTGAACCTAATCCAGAAGACAAGGGAACTCCTGGATCGAGTATCGGGAGAAATTTGCCTTTGTGGAGGACTTTTTGATGGAACTAAAGCGCATTCGCATGACATGGAGAAGAAGACAACAAGAAGCTCCCACGGTTAGCCTGACAGCAAGGGGACTCAAAACCCATGATCCGCCTACCACTGAGGATATTTCACGTCAGCACTGTGGTCGGTGGAATCCGTATGCGGAATGTGCATCAACCAGATATCGCTGGGATTCGAACCAGGTTCACCTCATTGGAAGGCAAGCGCTCTATCCCCTGAGACAGTGCAGTTCCTTTAGTTAGTATTATGTAATTAAATTTGGTAGTAAAGTAAAACATTCTAAATAAACTGGAATAAAATTTATTTGGGCCATGGTGGCTTAAGGGATATAGCGCTCACCTTCCATCATACAATTTCTGTACCCAACTTGCACTGACCACACTGCTAACTTAAAATATCCTGGGTGGTAGACAGATGATGAGTTGGAATCCCCTAACTGTTAGGCTAACTGGGGGAGGTTTTCGACTCCACGTGATGCAAATGCAGGTTAGTTCAGTTAAAAAGTCCTTCCCGAAGGCAAATTTTTTCTAGTACTCGATTCAGGAGTTCCCGGTTCTGGGTTAAGTTGCGATAGAGTTTAACATTGGCAGTTGTAAACTCAAATTACATCAGCTGTTCAAAAAGAGTTATAAAATAAAGTAAAAAATAAATTTTATTTATGTGGAATGAAATTAAGCTTTGAAATACTCTATGTCGTCCTGGGTTTTATAAATTGAAATAGATAATGCAGCACATTGTTGAGTTCACTCATTGCTGGTCAATAATGTGTTAAAAGCTAGTGAAATTAGAATGTGGTGGTATTATATGAGAATTATCAAAATACAGAAAAAAGGTAAAAATGAAAAAAGAAAAAGAGGTAAAAATTTAAACAAAGATTAATGAATACCAACATTCATTGAAAAATGACAACATCTGCTAGATATTAATTTTCAATAGTATATACATAGATCATTGCAATAAGAGATAAAAAAAAAGACAAAAATTTACTTTAAAATCCCCATGGGTAAAAAAAGATATCAAATTACCGATTGCTGAACAAATGCAAGTCGATTAATAATGAATGTAATAGAATGGAACAGTCAGGATCATTTCGAAAATCAAGAATCGTCAACGCTTCCTGTGCTGAAAATAGAAATAGAAAGATATTAATTTAATGGTCCATATCAATGGCAAAGTTGGCATTTTATCTGAAAAAATCCATTTCTCCAAAGAACATTAGAAGAAATCGGACAAAATGGAAGAAACTATAAAAAAGACTAATACAAATTCTTGAAAGTTGAATCAGTAGTTTCAGAGCAGTTTTAGAAACGTAGCTTTAAAAAAGAATAGCTTAAATTTAAACAAACAAAAAAAATTTTAAAATCCAGAAAGTTAAAAGAAACTCAGTTAAAAGAAACTTTATTATAACTTTCTTATAACTTTAGAAAGTTAATAGAAACTTTATTTAAAAAAAATTACTTGAAAAAGGTATGATTTTTATTTCTTACAAAGCTATGAAACCTTTTTCCCCGAAGCCCACCCAATTGACATTCGTCATTCAGGTCTTAAGAGGAAAGATTTGTTGGTCACTCTTTCAGGGGCACCATATTAGGTGGGCCAACATTACTCCCACAGTTATGACAGAGAGTAGTACATAGAATTAAAAAATATCCTTGTCTTGCCTGGGATTCGAACCCAGGACCTTTCTGGTGTGAGCTCCCTGACCAGCAGTTTGGTCATCCTATAAAAACTATTCAATTAAAACTTGGCAACCATTGCAGATTTTTAAAGAATCTTTTTTTTTTTTCTAAACTCAATAATGAGAAAATAAAACAAAACAATGACATTAAATCACATATATGATAAGATACAATATTTTTTATTTCACTGAGAGACTATAATAAATAAAACTTTAAGATGACTCAAGAGCCTTAAATATAATATTCCATACCTATCGCATCTGCATACGTAAGACGATTCTTCACTAAATTAGCCTCTATGAGAGTAGCATAAGCTTTTCCAATAGCCCTAATTTCTTTTACAGAAGGGAAAATTTTATAATTTTGCAAACGATTCCAACAACTACAAATAAGAAAATAATAATTATGACACAAATATTTTTTCATGCATATAACAGCTTAAACATACTTAGGTAAATGTATAAAATCTGATGTTTCTATTAAGCAATTGTTGAAACAAATAAAAGCATATGATATATCAATATCAAATAAATTGCAGAAATTTTATACAAGTCAATAAAATAAAAATTTAAACAAACAGAATATTTCATGAAAACCAAAGTAAAATGTCAGCATTAAAATAAATATTTAAAAAATTTGATATTTTCTTCGTACTGCCCATGTCCATAGAGAAATGATTGGTCACATCAATAAAAAGGAAACAGAATCTAATGATTTAAATCAGTATTTTATTTTAAAGATAATTTAAAATAAAATTCAGAACCAACAAGTTTTTTTTCACAACAAATTTTTAAAAAACTTGCGATTTTTTAGCTCTTTTATCTTAAGAAGATCTTATTTTAATGCCTTTCAACTACACAACAATAATTTATCTTTTTAAATCTTAAAATCCTTATCTATTTTCTTAGTCGAGTGTATTTGCTAGTATGTACTAAGTGGCAATATTTAAAATTTCACAGAGGGTTTTTTAGTACATTTAGCAAATAAATAAAAGAAAAATAAATAAATAATTTGACGCCAATCTTATAAATTTTCTCTTTTTGGGGAACATACATGGTAATTGAATGAATGTATTGAATCTTTTGAAAAGTTATGATTATACAGGAAACTCTGATTTTTAAATGACATGGTAGAATAAACTTCAAATTCTCTTGTAAAAATAATTTAAAGCAATGGAAATAAATAAATTTTCCGGGATTTTTCCAGTTTTTACCCATTATTCGATATTTTTCCGATTTAAAAAAAATTATTTTCTACATTTTAGACCCTCTAAAATATAAAATAGCTCATTTAAAAAATAATATAAAGCAAAATAAGCCGAAGAAAAAAAAAAGAAATTTTTTTGAAAAGTTGCTGTAGCTGGGATTCGAACCTGGGTCCCTTGCCCCAGTTGTCAGCTACTAGTCCGGTGTCTTGACCACCACGCCACTCGAACACGAGAAGCCTGCCATCATTTAGCTTTAAAAGTCCTACCACGGACAGCTATGTAATAGAC